TCCCTCCCTGCTCCCCCCCCCCCACGAACCCTTGGTAATTTATAAATTATTATTATTTTGTCATATCTTACACCGTAAATCTACCTGGATTTGGAGACGACTTGAGGGTGCGGTGGTGGGGGTGGGCAGGGTGGCGGCGGCGGCGGCGGTGCGATTTTCTGTCCCTTGGGCTGGGCTGGGCTGTGGCTGTTGAGACCCTTTTATTTTCTTCTGTGACTTCCATCACTGCCAATTCTTTTGGCATTGTGGATGCTTTTCAGATCACTGCCAGATGCTGTGTCATCATTTTACTTGGAATTTTCACATCTCACCTCCCCTTTTTCTCTATTCAACATGAGTCTCCTCATGGTGGTGCAAACAGGAATTTCTGGGGAAATGTTAATTATTCATTTCTTTTTGAGTATTTTCCAGCGTTAAAGTTAGGATTTCTGTGAGGAGAGGGCTTAGGATAATGACCATCTTTGTTTTGTAGGGTTTTCGTTGGGGTTACGGAGGAATGGACTACAGTAGTAATAGATTCCTCACCTAGTTCTCTAAATTAGATTTAAATATGTAATAACCGTTGCAGCTAAATGGCTCATTCAAGTTCAGTATTCCTTACTATCTGATGATGTGTGAAATTGTGCTGTCATTTTCGTGGTCAGGTTTCTGTTGCAATACTTTATATTAGATACGAGATCCTAATTTAGTGATGGTTGTCTCTAAGATTACTTCTTATAGTAACTTCAGTTTCATGCTGTATTATGCACATTTGACACTGCAATTTAGAGATTATCACCCTTTGTTTTTCTTGACACTTTCAAGACCATTTTTAACATTCACATGTTGAGAGCTTAGGTTCTCCCAAATTATCAAACACTGGGTACCTGCCAGATGTTTTAGGTGAGGTTATGGAAAAGGTTATTTACTTGTTTTGATAAGTCAGGTATTGAAATAAATACAGAGTTTTGATTAATACTAATTTGTATGACATTAAAAGTAGGCTGAAACTAGTTGCAAAACTGCCTCCAATTAGACCTGTGCAATCATTTTTCTCCTTTTTTTTTTTCTCCTTTCATATGTATAGATGCTCTTTCTCTCCTTTACCCAGGAAACAGCCTATTAATGGGTTTTTCTGAATCAAATTGAAGCTTGTTTCTTTAGATGAGTAACTTGATAGAACAAGTGGGATTTACCCTGGTCCAGCACATTATGTCGATTTCAAGACAGGCCATACATAAAAGATGGCCTATAGGTAATTATTGATAAATAAGATCTAAAGTGCTTATTGTGCACTTTGGGGATGTTATTTTCTGCCGTATGCTGTGATGCAGAGTTACTTAGTTTGCTTGAAAACTCCACTAATCTCTTGTCCTAGGGAGATTTTAACATCAGTTAAGATAGCATCATCAGGTTTCCTTTGAGTTTCTGGAGAATTTATGTTCTAATTAACAGTGCCAGAGTTTTATTGTTTCTCATATCTCTTACTTTAAACCTTTAATAACTTTTTCTTCCAACTAATTCCCAAAGCCAATTTTTTTTGTGTGTGTATGGGTATATTTTAAACTAGACTTTTTTGGGAAGGTTTTTTTTTTTTTTAGGAGTTTTATATATATATATAGAATAATTGAGAAAATAGTATAGAAGATAACATATTCCCTTCACCCATTTTTTGTTAACAGTATCATAGTATTATTGTTACATTTAGTGAACTAATATTGTCTTACATATTATGTTCAGAATCCATAATCTACTTAGAATTCCTTATTTTTTATCTAATGCCCTTTTCTGTTCTACGATTCTATCCAGGATACCACATAACATCTAGCTATTTTAGGATTGTGTTTACATGCTCTTTTGCATTGTGGAGTTGTGAAGATAATTATCTTTTGAGGCCACGGTATTGTTAAAGTACGGCCATTCTGTAGCTTTGGCAATGAAAAATTGATCTCTATTTTCATGAGCAGTGTCTAGTTTTCTTATGCATTAGCAAAGATCTGTAGAATTCATGCCATCTTGATGTAACTCTTCATGAATTATTTATTTTTAGCTCTGTTAGAATTCCACAATTCAGCTTTCAACAACTGTAATCTATGATAAAGCCTTGTTTGTTTCCTTAATAGCATTTACCACATTTATAATTATTTATCATTTATTTCCACAGCAGAGTGCATGTCCCATGAAGATAAAAGCTATCTTCATTGTACCCCCAGTTTGTAGCATAGTGCCAGGCTGACAGTAGAGGTTCAAAAATATGTTGTGAATGAATGAGCTTTGTAGTAAACAAGGTTAATACACTAAACAAGGTTAATATACTAGTAGGCTTACTCTTTGTTATGGTAAAGTATTGTCTGAATTTTTTCCTTATATAATTATTAGTTTAACATTTTATACTTAAGTCATCTGGTTGTGTACACGAATGCTCCAGATGATGGGGTCTGTGGAGAATCTAATGGAACCTGGCCCAATAATTTGTAGGCCTACGCCCATCATTAAAAAAACAAAAACAAAAAACAAAAAAACCTTGGATTTTTTTCCTGTCCAGTTTAGTAAAATTTAGTGTTTTACTAAATGCAATAATGTTTAAGCTATTGGTTAAGGAAAGTATTTGCTGTTATATAGTACATGAAAGTTTTTCATGAATTTGAAGACATTTATAGAATTCATTTGGAGCTAGAGTGTATTTAACTTCTCAATGAGAATGGATTGAGTTCGTGATGTTTTGACCTTGGTAATCTTTATATAGATGCCTACCTTTTAATATTTCAGTAATGTAAGTTTAATAAAAGAAGATTGACATATGTAGGGGCTTCAAAAAGTTGGCGCAAAAAATTGAATTGGTTGATAATGGAATTTCCACTAACTTTTTGTAGCTCCCTCTTTTATGCTTTGAATGTGAAGTTTACTTGTTACGGAGAGGAAGACAAAGTTTTTTATTCCTATAAAGAGTCATAGTCTTGGAAACCTATCAAGGTAGTTCTCCCCTGTCCTATAAAGTCACCCAAGGAGGCATCATCAAGCTGTGACCTGATTGACAGCTTGGATTCCACCCCTACACTTGCATACACCTTCAAGTAGACATAAAACCATCTAACTACCACAACTATCATCCTGGGATTTATATTTATAAACATTTTGAAGATTTTTTTTTTTATCATTTCATTGGGGGCTCATAAAACTCTTGATCACAATCCATCCATTGTATCAAGTACTTTTGTACATTTGTTTCCCTCATCATTCTCAAAATATTTGCTTTCTGCTTGAGCCCTTGGTATCAGCTCCTCATTTCCCTCTTCCCTCCCTGCTCCCCCCCCCC